CAAGGAGACATTCCGCTTAGCGGACTATTATTGGGATTCATATCCAACATAAACGTCATTTGTCTTTTAAACCGGTTATAATGCGTTGTGGGAGGCGCATTAGGCACAATTAGTTAACAACCATATATGTATAAGTAGAACATCTCAGGTTAAGATCCAGTCACAAACTGGTATACACAAAAATTGTTGTCTACTATCGGTCTTAAAAACAAATGTGTAAGAGTGCTTGCAATATTGCACAATCCAATGAAAAATAATTATATATATGTGGGCGCATAGTAGATATAATATTCACCATCTATATTCTTTTAGATGTGAGTTTTACTAATATCTTATTTTCACATGGGATGCGAGATTTTTTTTCATTGATCTCGAAAAATATGCAAAATCATCAAGTACTTTTGATGAGAATTGTCTAGCAGTAACAAGTCATATAGACTTGATTGGTCGGGTGGTGGGCCCTTAAATAAATAAATTTTGCTAAAATTTTTGCAAATGCAACATTTTTATGTAACCAAAAAATAGATAAGATGAGTAAATTTCTACCAAACCATAATTACTTAAATGACCCACATTTTGGTAGATAAGTTCTCACGTGTCACATAGTATTGAAAATGAGATATCTTTATATTATGTCCTTAGCATAGACAAGTCCTGATTCTACGATTGCTAAGGAGCAAACTTTGATAAATAATTGACATGTTTGCTATTATTATATTTTTAAGGCACAATAGAAAGTGAAAATTTCTTCACGTACTTTATAAGATGGATATTATTTATCTATTTATCAATGCTAAGACCAACAATTTACATTGTGTTGGATCACATTGTATCCTTTATTCGAATGATTAACAATCTGAGTGAGTTATTTTAAAGTTTGTATGAGCCAATGATCATTTTGACTCATAAACTTCTTAAATATGCATTTTCTTTTGCATTTATTAGGTGTAATATAATATTTTCTATCTCATTTTATAGCGAACTTCAATGTGAAAACCCATTAAGGGTAGTAGCATGGCGAACATTGATATTCTCACAGTATGATAGTTCGGGAAAGATCCCTTCACAAGGGTGTATAAGGAGTAAGTTTTTCTTGTCACTTTCACAAGAGACCACTCACAAGAATTGAACCCATGACATGATTCCATCTATATAAAACTCATTGTGGTGAACAAATTTAGAACGTAATAAACTTTGCTAACTTCTAGATGTATTTAGAGGTTAGGACTTAGGAGTACAATTCTATTCATTTAGATATGAAATATTTAGGCACTACATCACCCTTGATCAATCATAAATGAAAACAAAGAATTACGTCAATAAATATACATTCCTTAATTTATTGTGTATGACACAATTGGTTAAAACACTTTTTTGTTATAAATTGTAATAATTTGTAAACGTCACTCATATACTTTAGGTGATATGATCTCAAATAGAACGAGGTACATATCATTCTACTATTTATGGATATATTCCTTTGTATTCATTTTTTTATGAACAAAATTCATAGATATCATTTCATGAATCTAGATGCATAAACATCTCAAATAAAGTTTGAGATAAACATTGTGATATTTAATCAATTTATAATCTCAAATAAATAGACATACTGTATTTCAAACTTTAAGAATCTAAAAGTCTAGGTATAAAAAGTAATCTATTTATAAAACTCAAGAAAGAGTTGATTGTTGGATGATATAAACAATTAGAGAAGATTTTATCTCTCAACATAGTGGATAATCAAAGATCGCACTTATATTTAGTTTCTCATGCAATGAATCTCTTGTTCTTCAGTAATTTGATTACTAGTAATCAAATAGTTAGATTAAAGTTTAATTACTAGTAATTTGATTAAAGTAAAAAGTTGATCGTTGGATTACTAGTAAAAAGTTTAATTACCTCTTGTTCTGCAATAAATAAACTTTAATTACTAGTAATTTGATTAAAGTAAACTTTAAAATAGTAATTTGCTATAACTCGAATTAATAGTTAGATTGAAGTCTTATTTAAAATAGTTTTAATTACTCTTATTAATATATTTGTTGCAATTTAATATTTGTTACATTTTTTAAATGGATCGTCCTAGATATTTGGTTGATATGGGTAACCTCGAGCGCAACCGAACGAAAGAGCTTGCAAGGAAGAGATCCCGCAAAGGTAAATCACATATCGACTCTTCATCTCAAAGTCGAGTTGATTTTGATACGGGTTACGCAAGGAGGGATAGGGATGTGATGACCGACGAACAACTAGAACAAGAATTGCACCGACATAATAGCCGCTTTTTTCAAGACCAACCAAGGACCATTGACGAAGAAGAGCTCGAGGACGACGATGTGGAGGAAGTAATTCCGGAGAGCCACGACGACGACGAGGAGGGTGGCGGCAGCCACGACGCCGACGAGCCTGCCTCATCCCAAACCGGTACGAAAAAAGTAAATCTGAACTAATGGCTAATAAATTTTCTAAGTGGAAGGACCCGAACACCGGGAATTGGACCGCAACATGCAATTGGTGCAAGAAAAACTATAGCTTGGGGATTTCCGGTGGATACGGATCTCCCACAAGACATCTTAAGTCCAAACACCTGGTGGATTAAGCAAAATTAGGCGGCGGAACGGGGAAGCAAACTCAAATATCGAGGTTTGCAAATAACCAACAAGCTTTTGGTAATTTCTCATACAATGATGCACAAAATTTGACTGGTATGGCTAACTTACTTGTTGAAGAAAATTTGCCTTATTTATTTTCTGAAAGTCTTGCTTTTCGTGATTATGCACAAACTTGTTTAAATCCGCAATATAGAGGTTATAGTCGCAAAACGGTTAAGAAAGAAATTTCAAGGCTTTATGGTGCGGAAAAGGTAAGGTTACAAAATTATTTTGCAAACTTTGATGGTCGTAGAGCTCAAGAAATTGACATCACCTCATCCCAACACTTTATGGATGAATCTACAACCGAGAGTGGCTCTACCAATGTCGGAGATTCTGATTGATTAGTACTTCATGTTTTAATTTTACCTTCAATTCTCAATTGTAACTTGTAAACTTGTAGTTCATATTTCAAACAAATATACGTTCATTTTTTTATATGTAGCATTTTTTACTGAATTCATAAAATTAATTAATTAATTTTACATTATGTAATTTATTCAAACTAAAACATACAAAAAAAATTGAAATCAAAAGCCCCAAACGGCTATATAACCACTTTGGTAGTTTGGTTGTTTGAAATTTGAATCAATAGAGACATAGAGCCATTGGGGGTGGGGGTGGGGGTGGGTGGGAGGTGGGGGTACAAAAAATTCTATAAATACTCTTATTTTCTAACATTTTTATACACATCTTCTCCAACATCCAATCTCTAATCTCCATTCTCCATCTTCATCTCCATCTATTGTAGAATTATTATATCTACCATTTTTAAGATGGAAAGTCAATATGCCGTTATACAGTATAATTTTGATAATCAGAAGGACCCGAGTACCAGAATGTGGTACGCAACATGCAAATGGTGCGGGAAAAAGTGTAGCATGGAGATTTCAGGCGGATACGGGATGACAATGAAGCATATTAAGTCATGTGACAAAGCCAAAGGATCGGGAGTTGCGGGAAGTTCCGATTGATTACAATTTACAAAATGTATTTCATATTATATGTTTCTCTTAATTTTCAAATGTAGTTCCTATTTCATTTCAAATAGATGCACTTGAAACTTGTTTTTAATACTTGTATAAAACTATAAAGTATAAATTATAAAAAAAAATTGGTTTTAACCGGCCCGACGGGTGGCCTTACCCATCATTCGGGCAGGTGGCCCGGCCCGAACCGGACCCGTCCAAACCTCGGGCCGGTCCCGGGTCCATGAGTTACAAACCGGTGGCCCGACCGGGCCTAGGCCCGACCCGGCCCAAGTCCATGCCTAAGCACATATATTAGCAAAGTCAGCAAACCAAGAAAATTGCAATTCATAAGTCAGGGGAAAGAATAACATTGACGTCTACCAGCCTACTAGAAAAATCATAAGCAGAGGATATCACGGTCACGAAAAAAAATGGTGATCTCATAATTGACACCATCTTTTTATATTAAAATATATTCTTTGTATATTAAATTCGCACGCAGCAAATATAGTCTAAAAAAATTTCATATCCGAGTGATTTTTAAGTTCTATTACGTAAAATAATTGTGAAAACTCTATTATGTATATGTAATGTCTAATATGTTGATTTGAGTATGTAATAGAGTAATCTTACATGGTTATGGTTCCAACTATATGTAAGTGCATATAGCATTACGGAAAAATATAATCACATAATATGTATAAAAAATTAAAAAATGCATAATATGATCTTAATTCCAACTATATGTATTTAACATGTAGGGTTAATTCGTGTTATCTTTGATTCCAACTATATGTATATGACATATAGCTTTATGGAAAAATAGGATCACATGTATGTATACAAGGAAGGAAGATGCATAGTATGATATTCATTCCAACTATATGATTATAACATATAGCATTACAGAATTATATTCAAAAATTTTGCATCTATCTCCAAAAAAATGAATGAGGCATAACATCAAATACTTGATGTGCAAGAAGTAGATTTAATTTAAAAAAAATCAGCGTTCAGGAGACTATATGTATGCACACCAATGAAATGAATATCAAAAAACTCGATGAATTAATTCTTGAATTAGCCAAATATGTCAATGAACACAATCTGAAATTAAAATTTCAATCGAGGATGAAATTTACCTCAATGAATAGTAGCGGAAATCGCTGATTGTGGCGGCTTTTTTTGTGCTGGACAGCTGAACGGCTGCGGACGGCTAGTTGGCTGGAGTGCTGCGGCGTGTTGTGGTGCTGCGGACTGCTGTGGCATGTTGTTTTGGAGTGAGCTGCTGCGGCGAAGTGGAGGAGAGAGGCGGGGAAAATAGATTTAGGGTTAGGGCTTCGTGCTGATAACGTGTTGTAGAAAAAAATGTTCGTAGAGTTTCATTACCAAAAGCCCCTATAAATAGGTATAGAGCAGGGTTTACAAGTACGGACCAATAAGCCCATAATACATAATTTACATAGAAAGCCCCTAATACATATTCTATCTAAACGATAGCACACAACATATATTTTCCTTCAACAATTAGTCTAATTTAAACTATCATTTTCTTAGCTACATTCAACTTGGACATTATCCGAAAGCGATCTACCGTTTTCGTTCTGCATAAAGTTGAATTTCAACCCTCCTAAGTCATTTTTCTGGCTCCGCCATTGCCCCATGATAAATGCCATGTTTGGATAGCATCTTCTTCATTCCAAACCTATGATTATTGGGATTTGGGAGGTGAATTTTGACTGGAAATATGTCATGTCCTTTAAAAATAATGAGCAACACCAAGGGCGATACTTAAAAGGCTAAAACACAAAGTTAATCCTTTGAAGATAATGAGCAAATGCCATCCTGTACACAAAAATTGTCAAAAAAAAGTCAGATACGAGTAGACTGAAAGAAAACAAACATTCTTTAGATTACAATAAGCTTATTTAGAATTAAGAGGTGGGTCCAGTTGCTTTCATAAGGAAGACCTGACACACAAAGAAACGTGTTCAATTTCCCTTTGAAACAAAACATCATGTTTGATAGTCGAAGTATTATTAGCCCTGCACCGGCTGCAAGCCCAAGTGGCACATGCGGAGAAGAAACATCAACATAAGCCTCAGAAGAACAGAAAGAAAATAGACAAATATAAACTTTGTTGCAAGCTCCTCAACGTCTTCCTGATGCCACAGAATCAGAAGAGAAGAGATGCTTCACACGAGAAAGGACAGAGTCGTGCGCTGGGTCATATGGGTGGTCCTTTGAAGGAATCTCCAATATGGCTGGAATTGGCTTGTTATACCCATCCACCAAAAACCTTATCATGTTGGCAACCTGAAAATTGATTTATATCGAGTGAAGCAGCAAATAATCAGCATCACAACCTCAACCCTAAAAGATAGACGTAATAAAAGGGGTTCCCCAAGACCTTATTGAGTTAACAAATTTGTATTTGGCGGGCTGATATGGGATGACATAACAGGCAGAACACAAGAAAGAGGATACATATTCTACTTGTACATATAAGCTTCAAACTTAATCTTTACTTTATACTTCTAAAGAAAGTAAGATTGATGATAAACATTAGTAACTTATGCAAGGGATACTTGCATATTATAAACATTAGTAACTTATGTAAGGGATACTTACATATTGGCTAATTAACAATATAGCAATGTCCTCTCTTGTAGTGAACTCTTTGAAAGCTTCTTCAATCTGTTTCGCAGTAGTTTCTAAAACACAACCATTAAAACAACTGAACTTAGTAGCACTTACAATAAATCAAGTATGATGAGAAAGAAAATGTATTAGCTACCATAATTGCAATTCACTTGGAAGTTAGAAAGTCCTATTTAAGGCACCTATATCAGAACTAAAAAAGAATCCGTACTTGAATCAACAATAAGATAGTTTGTTTTCCTTCTCAGGTCCACATTGCCTACTCCAGCCAGTAAAAATCCAGTAATGGTATCCTATATTAACATGAAGTCAGACAACTAATAACTCCATGAAGACTATCGATGCATCAAAAATCACATGTCAACAAAACCATGCACCTCCTTGTATTTTGCTAGGATGTAACAAAATGTACCCAAATGAATGTGTAATGTCAATCTATACCTCTGCTATAAGAGCATCCTCGAGACTGAACTAGTTGAATTTAAATTTAGATGTTTTAACTTTTAAGTGAACGTAGGTATATATTAATAGAGAGAAGAGAATGAATGTTTTGAATATATTTCTGTGTATTAAAAATGGTTTACAAGGCTGCAATTTATACACATCCTAATAATGTATATAAGGTAAATAATAATACTATAGTAAATGCCAAAGATATGTAACGGCTAACTACAATATTATGGTCTAAATGCAAATTATTTCTTTCCTTCAATACGCCCCCGCAAGCAAGGTATTCTGTCACTGCCAAGAATCCTGAGCTTGTCTCTAAGAAGAATGAAGCGTTGTCGGGGAAGCGGTTTGGTGAGGGCATCAGCTATCTGATCAGAGGATGGATGTGATGAACTTGAAGAAGTCCACGTCGAACCCGTTGCCGACAAAATGAAAGTCAATGGCCACATGTTTCATGCAAGTGTGGAAGACAGGATTTGCCGAAGATGTAGTGGCACCTTTGTTATCACAAAGGAGGAGTGGAGGAGAAAGTAGCGGGTGCCGCAACTCACGCAAAAGAGATTCAATCCAAATAATTTCAGAGGCAGCGGTGGAAAGAGCTCGATATTCAGCTTCCGTGGAAGACTTAGTAGTGGTACGCTGCTTAACTGACTTCCAAGATATAAGAGACTCCCCGAGAAAAATGGCATATGCGCTAGTAGAGGAACGGTAATCAGGGTTCCCTGCCCAGTCAGCATCAGCAAAGGCACGGAGAGAGGGGGATGTGCTGCGACAAAGAAACAGGCCATGAGAAGCAGTTCCCTGTAGATAGCGCAAAAGACGTTTGAGAAGCTGCCAATGATTGACCGTAGGTTTATGCATGAATTGAGCCAGTTTGTTAATAGCAAAGGCAACATCTGGACGGGTAAGATTCAAATATTGAAGCGCCCCAAGGACCTGGCGATAGAGTGGCATCACATGAGCCTGAACTGTCAAACAAAGTTAATGAAGGAGAGGGAGCTAACGGCGTAGCCACCGGATTAGCCTCATCCATTTTTAATGTTTTTAATAAGTCCATAATGTATTTATGTTGATCAAGAAAGAGTCCACCCTGTGTAGGAGTAACCTGCATGCCCAAGAAATAGTGTAAGGCTCCAAGATCCTTGATAGAGAACTGGTGGGCCAATGAGTCAATAGTCTGACGTATCAAGTCGGGTGTAGAGCCAGTAACAATAATATCATCCACATAAACCAAAACATAGATGTAAGATGGATGGGAGGAAAAAATGAACAGACTGGCACCGGCAACCGATTGATAAAACCCAAGTGAGAGAAGAAAGCCACTAAGAGATTGATACCACACCCGAGGCGCCTGTTTAAGCCCATAAATAGATTTCCGAAGACGACAAACAAACCCAGAACCATCATTAAAGCCCGGAGGTTGCTTCATGTAAACTTCCTCCTGAAGGGTCCCATGCAGGAATGCATTATTGACATCTAACTGATGTACTGGCCAACCATGAGAAAGAGCAATCGTCAAAACAATACGAATGGTAACCGGTTTGATGACCGGACTAAAGGTGTCAGAATAATCAATCCTGGGGCGCTGATGGAAGCCCTTAGCCACTAGCAGAGCCTTATAGCGATCCAAGGAGCCATCCGGTTCATACTTCACTGTATATACCCATTTACAACCCACAATATTCTGACCAGGCTGAGTCGGAACAAGATCCCAAGTGCCCTGTCTAACCAAGGCATCAAATTCTACTGTCATAGCATTCCGCCATTATGGTACCTGCATTGCTTGAGAAGCACAAGTGGGAATTATATGGTGAGGTAAAGGATCAACAGTGGCAACATTGGCTTGTTTACGGGGTCGAAGGGTCATTGGATGGGTACGTTTAGGCGGTGGAGTATCGAGGGGTGGGTTTGAGGTAGTGAGATCAATGGTGGTGGGTAAATGAGGGATGAGGACAGGAGGATTGGGTTTGGGTCAGCGTTGGTAAGTAATAATTTGTGGAGGTGTGGGTTTAGGGGGGTTAGAAAGTTGTATATCAGTTTGGGTAGAGATAGTGGGTGACGTGTCAAGGGTCAATTGTTGAGCCGAGGTAGGAGTAGGAGGAGACGCCCCCGCAACCAGAGTACCTGTAAGGGGAATGTCTTATCAAACACAACATGTCTGCTGACAAAGATACGGTTGGTGGTAAGATCAAGACAACGATAGGCACTTTGTTGGTCACAATATCCCAGGAAAACACATGGTTTGGAGCGTGGTTCTAATTTATGAGTGGTATAAGGACGTAACCATGGAAAACATTGGCACCCAAAAACAGCAAGTTTAGTGTAATTAGGAGGTTGTTGGAAGAGTTTTTCATATGGAGTGCAGAAGTTAAGAGAGAGAGAGAGGGTTGTCTATTAATGAGATAAACTGCGGTAAGAAAAGCATGAGCCCAATATTTAAGGGGCATGGATGCATGGTGAAGTAGGGTGATACCAGTTTCATCAATGTGACGATGCCGACGTTCAGCAAAGCCATTGTGCTCTGGAGTGTAGGGAGGCGTAAATAAATGAGAAATACCACATGTGCTTAAGAATTTCCCTAAGGTTATGTATTCGCTTCCCCCATCAGAATAAACGGTTTTAATTGTGCGTTGAAAGAAGTTTTCAACAATCTTTTTAAACTGTTGAAAGAGTGGAGTGACCTCACTTTTATGAGTTATAGGATAAAACCAAATATATTTGGTATAATGATCAACAAAGATTACATAGTAACGAAAGCCATCAATAGAATTAACACGTGCGGGACCCCAAACATCTGTATAGATCAAGTCTAGAGGTCCAAAGCTCGAAAGAGATGATTTTGCAAATGGCAGCTTATGGCTTTTATTACTAGCACATGAGACACATAGAGAATTATTCGTAGTAACATCAGAAAAGGAAATACCTAAGGAAGACATAATTTTTTTTGTAATAAGGAGGGCAGGATGTCCTAAGCGACAGTGCCAATTATTAAGGGAATATTTTTGTGTGATGTGAGCAGATGGAGATGGTGGAGGGGGTACATCTGGCAAGTTGTAGACGTCTCCTTTATTCATACCCCGTAGCAAAATTGCTCCCGTTCGTCGGTCCTTAATAAGACAAAAGGAAGAATGAAATTCAATTAGTACATCATTATCACGACATAATTTGGCGACAGAAATTAAATTAGTATGAATAGAAGGGACAAAAGGGGTATCATGAAGAGAAAGAGAGTGAAGGGTCATATGCCCAACTTGTGCTATCGCAAGACCTTTACCGTTACCAATAACGAGAGAATCAGTGCCAGTATAATCGGATGCCAAGGTAAGATTATTCAGGTTGTTGGTGACATGATTGGTTGCTCCAGAATCAAATTGCCAGCCATTGTGTCGAGTGACATCCGTATTGACTTGAGGAGGGTAAGCTTGTTGTTCAAACCGATGCCAACAGTTGAGAGCAGAATGGTTCGGTTTCCCACAAATTTGACATGTAACATTGGCCCCGAAATTACCAATCCCCGAGCTGTTCCGAGCTGCCTGATTGGTAGTGGGTCCCCCAAAATTGTTACTGCCACGTCGGTTGGGACTGTAATGGGTATTGGGCCGCTGGTTTCTGGGCTGAGTCCGATTGGTGTTGCGGGCCGAATAATTAGGGCGACTGGGTTGCTGATTTAATTGGGCCGACGGTCCAGGGCCCAAAATAGAAGGGGTTGGATCTTTGCGCGCTACCAGTGCTGCGGACTCCACTGTACTTACGTTATTAGCCGTCACCACAGCAACAGGGGAGTTGAAGTCTTCTTTCCGCTTCATGGAGTCTTCGAAGCCAGTGAGCAGGGTATAGATCGTCTTAAACCTATTGTCACCGCAAGTCCGAACGGAGTGAGCAAAGGATTCGAACTCGGGTCGGAGTCCCTCCAGTGCTTGAACGATGAAATCTTCGTCATCTACAGGACGGCCGACCTGAGCCAATTCATTGGCGAGCGTGCGCGGGTGATGGAGATACGCCCCCACTGGTTGAGAGCCTTGTCGAGTGTGGCGGAAGATATCCTTCATATTCCGGATTTGGGATGGTGAACGAGTCCCATAGAGGTCCTCAAGAGTTTTTCAAACTGCTGCAGACGTGCGAGAGGATCCAACTAGGGGTTTACAGGCCGAACTCAATGAAGCTATGAGGGCGTGTCAGATGAGTCTGTCTTGCCTTGTCCATCTGAGACGGCCATCGACATCACTCTCCGGTGGCGGGGCAGCATCATCGGATATGTACTGATCAAGATGAGACCCGAAGAGAAGATCTAAAATCTGATCGCGCCATACAAGGTAATTCGAACCATCCAGCTTTTCTGGAAAATGACTGGGATTTAGAAGGATTAATTTATCTGGGGTGAGGGGTGCAGAAACTGTTGTAGAAGGGATATTAGGGGTGATGGGTGTACTGGTAGGAACATTGTTGAGGTCCCCTTGTTGGAGGAGAACCTCAGGCTGGCTGTTGGTGGTTGTCATAGGGGAGGGAAGGAGGGCTGGTTAGAGCTCAGTGGCTCTGATATCATAATAGAGAGAAGAGAATGAATGTTTTGAATATATTTATGTGTATTAAAAATGGTTTACAAGGCTGCAATTTATACACATCCTAATAAAGTATATAAGGTAAATAATAATACTATAGTAAATGCCAAAGATATGTAACGGCTAACTACAATATTATGGTCTAAATGCAAATTATTTCTTTCCTTCAATATATATAACATTGCAAATTAGTCAAACTTGAGATCCGCTGTGAGATCATGTAGGGAAATAAAGACCATATATTTGAGATTGTAACAAAACATTATGTTTTGAAATTCTTCAATACTACTTTCTCATGACATTCAAGGCTATATACCTTTGTATATATTTCTCCAAGGCCAAAGAGCAATGTTATACAATTTCTGTGTTTCCAAATGTTATGTTCCTTTTGTCCCAAAAAAGAGCCCTTTTTAATATGCTGTTTTCTCCACATCCAAAAAATTCAGTTTGATCAAATGAAGCTAACTTTTCTTGTAGTTTGCCAAAAAATGACACAAAGAGTTATAGAAAAGTTACATATCACAAGTTTTGTTAAACCAACAAATAGCTGTAAAAATTCTAAGCGGGTTCATGAGTTCATTTTGTACTAAACAACAACAAAATTAGGTGACCTTGGCATAACTCATGGTGATAGAACAAGATTACAGCATTTTTTATATCACACCTATCATACACAAAGAATGTTTGGATCCAGATTTGATATTGAAAATATTAACATAAATAACACAAAATATCCACCCATTTATTTGCAGTCGGCCTTCTCGGTGTGTCATCATACCATGTGAAGTACAAAGAATTACAACACCCATCCCGCCTAAACTATAAATATTTTTTAATACATAGAATACATACAAATTATTTATTGATCAAACGGGTTACAGTTTTTGTAAAAAGGTTTTATAATGGTAAATTAGTAATAAACACTTGACCCTTGGGACAAAGCATTCTACATCTCTTGAAGCACTGTTGAGAATGGGTAAAACATATCTGATCAAGCACTTAAACTTAACAGCACCATCAAAGTAACCATGTAATCTGGTGTACTTTTGTATGATCACTACAGACTCCAAATGATTATGTGCTTCTTCATCAGTGAAGACAATGTTGCGGCCCATAATTCCTCGCAATTTTTATATCATCGAAGTATAACATGTTAAAACAAGTTATAACAAAGTTGCACAAAAGTTTGTGATTAGCAAACACAGTATTAATTAAGCATCTTTGGCCAGTGGTGCATTTATAAACAAATGCAAACAAAGAATTGCATGCCACACAGAGAAGTAAGAGTCTCTACCTCATCAGCAATCATTGCAATAAGTGCTGAGCTGTTGGGGCGGATTTGAGATCCATTCGCCATCTAAGAATAAAATAGGGTTAGCAGTTGTTTGATCAATAGTCAATACCATAGGAATATATTAATAAGTGTGCAATTACAATATTATTAGTTTATTACTGTTTCTTTTCCTTGTGATTTTACATGAGATCAAACTCAGGAGATGTTCTGCAGAAGTTAATAGTTGTTTTATGCGACTCCAAGCCTAACACTTCTTGTACTTGACTAATAAACTTTGCTGGACTTGGATGTAATGCATACAGATTATGGAATTTATTGAGTCTAGTTTAGTTCTAGTACTAAGAAACAAAAACCAAACATATGAACTGATTAAAAAGAGTTGAGGTGTTCTAATTAAATCAACTCCCACACTTAAGTTCTGTCCATGTTAAAGGTCTTGACTCTTGAGTTTGAGTCACCACTGGGGGCATATGTATGCTTCTGAAAATGCATATACAGGGGTGGAGAAGAAGAAACTGAGGACTTCAGTTAGAAAACCAAGGAATTAAGTGCAAGAATTTCCGGAAACTTTTTTACTGAATAAAAAAAATAAGCAACTCTGGCAAAGCTGCATGCCAAAGTTGTGGGGTAGTTTTCATCAAATAGAATGCATTCCTATCTTATGTTGGGATTTAGCCATTTGAGGATTCTTCATAGGTGAGATACATTAGGACTCTGATGTGTGTGAACCATGGGAGATTTGTTTTATGTTTTTCTTAGTTTGGTTCAATTGTTGTGGAGGATGTGCTCTTCTAGATAGGTTTGTTTTTGTTTCCTCCTTTTGTATCTTATCTATATATATATATATAAAAAAAGAAACAGTGGCAAAAGGCTTTTAGGCGCCATTTTGGGCAGGAAGTCAGGAACTGATGACTCTTATTGCCTACACCGTTTGAGACAATTAATGTTTCTTGATACTCTACAATTACTCTTTAGTATGATGCATCTATCCCAATGCGGAAGTAAATATTAAGGGAAAGAGGTTGTTCAGTTTTTTATGCTTGGACATCTCAAGTATGCTGCCAACGGATTACTTACAAAAAGTACTCTATTAAGTATTCCAAGTGTGTGTTAATGATGGAACAATTCCTGGAACATTCATATGGCTTTTGGTATTCCAATGTAAACTTGAATAAATGTCCAACGGTTCATATCTCTCTGGAATATGACTTATGACCACACAAAAAATAACACACGAGATATACAAATAAGTCCATTACAATCCTCAGTAGGCATGCTTTCCCAAATACAGCAATGTAAATGCACAAAATAACTTCAAAATCAATAAATCAAGAATGATTTCCTTTGAGTGACCACCTTCTTACTTGAAAAAATATGGTTTGCACTTTGTAATTCGAACAGGCCTATAGGCTGAGGCCCAATATGAATGTGGGGTAAGCATCTAATTTATGCACCTATCATGCAAATCAAAAACATGACTTTTTTATGTCAATTGGTTTTTTGAGCTGGTAGAACACTAGAACAGTTCACTGTTCTGATTCGAATTATTTAAATACTATGTAGTATTATTTTTGAGCTATTGATTTCGAAAACTGTAATTTTTTCTTCCATTTTGAGATCTTAGGTAAAGATCGGATATCTTAGATTTTTTTGAATGGGTCTGGTGATGCATTTAAATGAATCAAAAGCTAAATTTGTAGATCTGATGAAAATCACAAAAAACAACATTGTGAAAGTCGTAGGGTACATATATCGGAGTTTGATTAGGTTTCCCAGAATTCGCTTAGGTTTCAACAAACAACAATATCATTAATTTAACTAAATAATTATAAACAACTATGAATTAAATCAATTAATGAAGTGATCAATAAAAGAGAAGGGCTGGAGGAATACCGGAACTACGGAAGGTGGGGAGGTAAAAATTGAGAAGGGCCGATTGGCTGAACCACTGAAGGGTTAGTGGCGGAGTGCCGCAGGCGATCGGGCGACGGGCGTGAGGCGGCGAGTAAGCTACGACAAACGAGGCGTGGTGCGGTGCTGGCGCCTGGAGGAGTGGCGTTGATTCCGTGCTGCGTGCTGAGTGCTGATGTCTGCCGGAAGGCGAAGCCGCGAAGAGAGTCGGCGATTTCGCAGGGCGTTCGACACTTCGACCGTTCGAGGATTACAGATGCCCGGGCGTGGAAGTTGATCCCGAGATGTCTGGTCAGCTTCCTCAAGTCTGGGCGGTTTGCTAATTTTGGGCGCTTGGACCTTTGGGCCTTTTGTTACGGAGTACTTTGGCGGACGTTTTTTAACGGGAAATTTTCGCAAATAGACTTGAAAGTCAAAATAATAGGGAGTATCATTTTTATTACTCCCTCTTAATTTTTTTAACAAACGTGGCATGCTGTAACTTTTGTATTTCAAAAATGGACCATCCTTACTGATAGGCATCATTACTCATTTGAAATGCAGTTATGTTGCCAAAATGGAAACCTATACACTCATGCCACATTAATAAGCAAAAATGTCATCTCTAAATCTATATTCAACTTTGAAAAAAGTAACTAGAAAATACGAGTATATCTTTTTAAAAATAAAAATGCATGAAAGCAAGAATGTTTATAAATCAAAATGAATTTTCAATCGTTTTTTACGAACGATGAATTTTAAATATTAAGAGTATAAATTATAACAAATGAAATGAGATGAAATATTTTTCAAAAAAATAAAAACACGAAACAAATTAAAAAAATAAAAGATTCAAAAAGTCTAAACATAAAATTCTAAAACATTCTAAAAATAATAATAAAATAATAAACAGAAAATTAACAAGAGTATGAAGTAAACAAAGCGAAACACATATGAATTATCAGAAAACTTTGAAAAAACTAAAACAAAGTGTAAAATGATTTTTTAAAAGGTTTCAGATATGAAAATTTGAAAATTAAAGAATATGAATTCTGATATTTAAAAAAAATACTCAAATTAATATATAAAGTTTGAAAGGATTAAATAATTCTTTGAATTTTTAAAAATCATAAAGTTAGAGTAAATTAAAAGGCATGTAAAATATAAAAACTCTGAACACATAAATATTGTTATTATATTATTATATCTTTTAATTGTTACATTTGTTGCATATTGTTTCCTTCAGTTTATCTTTGTTGAAAATTTTAATTATTTCTTTTTTTATTGTTTCTTCATGTTTCTTTATATTTATTTATAAATTCAAATTCAAATTTATTATTTTGGGTGTTTTTATACATAATTATATATGATTTTTATTCCAATTCACTAACGAAAATAATTGTGTGTGTGTGGCGTGCATGTGTGTGAATAGCAAACAAAATAAAAATCAATAATAAAGAACAATAATAAAGAACAATAAGAAATATGATAGAATTGAATGCAACACAATGCAACAAATACAACATGATGCAACAAAAAAAGCAACAAAAAAGATGTAACAAAGAGAAAAAAAACAGCATATACAAATTGCACAAAATATATACAATTGAATCTATAGATGTAATTTACATCTATTGGTTTTGGTTCTCTCTTCTTATTCCTTTTATGTTGCACCTTAACACACAATTTATCATATTTTTCTCTTCTATCTTCATTTTCCTCTTCAATATTCTCATTCTTACATCTTCTTGTACTTCTTTTTTAGGGAAAACTATAAAATAGGCCCTCAAACTTTCATAAAAAGTGCAAATAAGCCCTTTTATAGGAGGCTTTGTCTGGCTGTCGTCATTTGGGGTGGTTTCCGGTAGAATTGTTTGATAAAATTTTTTAGGTATCTTCTTCATTAAGTCTAGTTTATTCATACCAAATTTCAGCTAAAAAATCAATCGGGAAGGCAGTCAAATGAATTTTTGAAAATAATTATGCAGTTAGACAGCGCAATATATTTCAGAAAATCATTTGATTATCTTCTCGTTTGAATTTTTATCTGAAATTCGGTATGCATAAACTAGACTTAATGAAGAAGATGCTCAAAAATTTTATCAAAACATTATATCGGAAACCTCCCCAAATGGCGACAGCTGGACAAAGCCTCCTGTAAAAAGGCTTATTGGCACTTTTTATGAAAGTTCGAGTGCTTATTTGATAGTTCTCCCTCTTTTTTATTATGTGCCTGCAATGGGGGAATACAATCACTATGACACAATTTTTAAAAAAAAAATTACAATAAACCTGTATAACAGATGCATAAAAAGACATCCACAACTAGAAGAAAACAAAACAAGAAACAAAAATGAAAATGAAAAAATATACTCCCAATCATTAAAAAGAGAGCAGTTAGCTACTAGTTCTTAGCTCTATAATGATGCTTACAAGAGGAGTGTACAAATTGAAAATCTCAATTTGACCTTCCAGAATCTAAATGAAATCTCAATGAATACTATGACCTTAATTTTTTTTAATACTCAGCTGGAAATTCATCTTGAAGAGATTAAGTGTTAGATTTCACATCCTACAAATGGAATCTAACACTTAATATAACACTTGTCTTAACGGCATTTGTAGGATATGGAATTTGTAGGATTTGTAACACACTCCTCTTGTAAGCATCATTATAGAGCTAAGAACTAATAGCCATAAGCGTCATTATAGAGCTAAGAACTAATAGCCAACTGCTAATTTTGAATGTGCGTTGGTCCTTTGGATTGGTCTAAAATCATCAAGTAATGTGCTCCTATAAAATGAGATATGTGGAGCTCTCTTTTTAATGATTGGGAGTATATTTTTTCAATTTCATTTTTTTTCTTGTTTTGTTTTCTTCTAGTTGTGGATGTCTTTTTATGCATCTGTTATATAGGTTTATTGTAATAATTTTTTTCAAAAAAAATGTGTCATAGTGATTGTATTCCTCCATATAATAAAAAAGAAGTACAAGAAGATGTAAGAATGAGAAGATTGACCAGGAAAATGAAGATAGAAGAGACAAATATGATAAATTGTGTGTTAAGGTGCAACATGAAAGGAATAAGAAGAGGAGAGAACCAAAACATATAGATGTAAATTACATCTATAGATTCAATTGTATATATTTTGTTGCTTTTTGTTGTTTTTGTTTCTCTTTGTTGCATCTTTTTTGTTGCTTTTTGTTGCATCATGTTGTATTTGTTGTTTTTCATTGCATCATGTTGTATTTGTTGCACCGTGTTGCATTATATTCTATCATGTTTCTTATTGTTCTTTATTATTGATTTTTATTTTTGTTTGCTATTCACACATGCATGCCACACACACACACATATTTATTTTCGTTAGTGAATTGGAATAAAAATCATATATAATTATGTATAAAACACCCAAAATAATAAATTTGAATTTGAATTTATAAATAAATATAAAGAAACATGAAGAAACAATAAAAAACATAAATAATTAAAACTATCAACGAAGATAAACAGAACGAAACAATATGTAACAAATGTAACAATTAAAAAACATAATAATACAATAACAATATCTATGTGTTCAGAGTTTTTATATTTTACATGCCTTTTAATTTACTCTAACTTTATGATTTTTAAAATTTCAAAGAATTATTTAATCCTTTCAAACTTTATATATTAATTTGAGTTTTGTTTTTTCAAATCTCATAATTCATATTCTTTAATTTTCAAATTTTTATATCCGAAACCTTTTTGAAAAATCATTTTACTTTTGTTTTTTTTCTGTTTTTTATTTTATTATTATTTTTAGAATGTTTTAGGATTTTATGTTTAGACTTTTTGAATCTTTTATTTTTTTATGTGTTTCGTGTTTTTAATTTTTTGAAAAATATTTCATTTCATTTCATTTGTTATAATTTGTACTCCTAAGATTTAAAATTCATCCTTCGTAAAAAAAAGATTTAAAATTCATTTTGGTTTATAAACATTCTTGCTTTAATGCATTTTTATTTTTGAAAAGATATACTCGTATTTTCTAGTTACTTTTTTCAAAGTTGAATATAGATTTAGAGATGATATTTTTGCTTATTAATGTGGCATGAGTGCATAGGTTCCCATTTGGCAACGTAACTGCATTTCAAAGGAGTAATGATGCGTATCAGTAAGGATGATCCATTTTTGAAATACAAAAGTTACAGCATGCTACGTTAGTAAAAAAAATTAAGAGGTAATTAAAATGATATTATTTTGACTTTCAAGTCTCTTTGAGAAAAAATCCCTTTTTTAATCTTGGGCCTTTTAGCGGTTGGGCCTGATAAAACCTTACATTAGGACTGAAAAATCAAAATCAGTCTACTCTCAATATCGAACTTAAAATGTTTTAGTTTTGGGGTTATGTCTAAAATATATTACTAAAAAAAGAGATGTGAACAAAAAAGTGACCTTTTTTTATGTTCCAAAAATGTGACTAGAAAATTGTAAAGAGACTGTTACACCCTTACTAAGCCCAAGCCTAACTGATCTACTACAGTAACCCGTTACAGTGACCAAAGACGCAGTGACCAATTTCAACTATTGTCACAATGAATAGTGACACGTATGCCTAGTGACAGTGACACGTATGCCCAGTGACAGTGACATGCCCGCCCGTCCAGTGACCAACATCTGCCCATCCAATGACCAACGTTCGCCCGTCCAGTGACCAATCACAATTTCACTATCTGACCAATTACAGTTACCCGATCCGACCATTTATAGTTACCTAACCCCACAAGTTACATTTACTCGATCCGACCAGTTACAATTACGAGACCCAATTAATTACAATTATCTGTATCAACCCGTTATAGTTACTTGAACAAACGAGTTACAATTACTCGATCCAACCATAAATAAATATCGACCCGACCAATTACAATTATCATATCTTATCAGTTATAGTTATCCAATCCAATCAGTTATACTTACTCAGTCCAATAAATTACGGTTATATTTTATCCATCCACCACCGTTGCCCGCACGACCAGCAACCACTGTTGACCATCATCGCCGGTGACCCACTGCTGCACTCACTCCGGCGGCCAACATCCCCAACCTGTCTCTAACCCAACCCCAATCACCGTGCCACTGCAGCCACCGCCTCCGGCCACTTCCGCCTCTGCCCATCGTCGCCCCAGGCCACCACCGCCCCTGCCCAACCCTCTTCCCAGCCTCATGCCCAGCTACCCAGCCCCACGCCTAGCTACCCAGCCCCCAGCCCCACACCCAGCTACCTAGCCCCCGACCCCATTCCCAACCCTCAGCAACCTCTGAATCAGTGAATCCAACCACCACTCCCCACTCTCAGATCCAGCTACGACTAGCCCAACCTCAGCTTTGAGCCTCCAACCAACCCAACAGACCCCGACC